GGAGAAACGGAGAAGTTGGGGGTCAGGTCTCAATGCTGATTGCGATCGCTGCCGGTTTGGCCATTTTGCCACGACTCCCCGATGTCGGGTCCCATGTTGATAATTCGAAATTTGTATTCCAATCTTCAAATTGTCTCCAAAATGGAATTGATTTTATGCAGATGAGCATGAAATTGTCTCAATGCGAGTTTTGCATGTTGGTGTAAATAAATGTAACGATGTCTGGGCAGGGGACAAGGACAAGGACGTGATGAGCCCGGGTTTTCTCCGGTTTTTTTTCCATTGTGTTTGGTTTTTCTTGGCTTTGCCATTTTGGCCATTTCGCAGAGTGCATGCCGCATCAAAGATGCGACGTTTACGGATTTGTAATTCACAGCAATTCAGCACGGTCTGCCATTTCGATTCGGCAACCGCAAACATATTTCCTCAAAGCCAAATTTATTACTTAATTCTCTGGGACGGCACAGATGCCACTGGCCGGAAAATCAAATCAAATAAAAGAAGGCAGCCGCAGTGGAAAGCTCATAAAATGCTCCAAGAAATCCACTTTAAATATTTGGCTAACCAAAAAGCCAGAATTGAAGCCCGAACCACCAATCCCTCCGATTTTCGCCCATTCCGAAGCTCAAACAATGCGCTCGCTTGCATTTCATTTGAATTTACAACTGTATTTGGTATTTGAACGGGCGGTGAAGTAATGTAACTCTGCCACGCCCCCTTCTACCACTCGCCGCCCCCTTTTCTGCAATCGAACAAGGAAATGGAAATCATCATCATCAGCCATCAGGGTTATCGGCGCAGAGGAAGCCAATAAAATGCAAGCACGAGACAAACACAAATCGAATAAAAATGCTTGGCAAAAAATTCGCTTTGGAAATTCAAAACTGGAGAGCGGAAAAAAATGTGCGGAATAACTGTGCGCAGTCAATAGCCCGATGTGTAAACATGGCCAACAAAAATATTTCAATATTTCAAACACGCAACTCAATGTCGATGATGATGCCAATGCCGGATGAGAAGCGATGAGCCCGTCTTTCTCGCTTTACACTAACTTGGCCAAAAAGGAAATTGAAGGACAGCCGCAATTCATTGATTTAGTGCCAGGGATTTTGACTTGGCTCTAACTTATACTACATATACACACACATATAATCCATCCATTCAATATTCTCCCTTGTGGTTTGCGCGATATTATCGCTTTTCATTTGTTTGCACTGCTGAGTAATTTGTGTTTGCCATTGCTGTTGATGTGTTTAGCATGTCCTGCCATCCCGATGCCGGTTCCGATCCCCCCGATTTGTAAATTATATGTCTGCCAAGTGTGCCGATGGGGTGCAGATAATGTTCTTAAAGTGGCCAGGAAATTGCAAATTGCTGGTTAAGTTGCGTAGGCAAGTTACGCCCTAATAAATATGTTACTAGTCGATTTGTTGGCCATTCTGGCCTTCCTTATGTCTATATTTGAATGGCTGATAAAGGGAAAAACCAAAGGCAATAAGATGCATTGGAATTTCTTACAGGATGGTTGTCTTTATCTTGCCCTTGCCTTAAATTATACATTTGAAAACCCACTCAACTCAAGAGTTGTATCTATATCGGTTATCAATGGGCTTGCCTTACATATCCCATTTCACTATCGAGGCGCACAAAAATCCCATGCATAAGTTTATTTCGCCCGGCCAACTTCGAAGCGTCTATAAATCATGTATGCAATTTTAATTCAAATACAAAAGAATTTCCAACACATGGCTGGGGCTGCATTGTTGGCATAAACCAATTTCAAAGGCCAAAATAGCGAGGACTCCACAACTAATGCGCTCAGCGCGCACCGCAAACATTCCTTCGTAGTCCTGAAAAACCCCCAACCCCCAACTCCCTACCCCTTACCACCCGAAAAAATAGATCGGTTTGGGCCAAAAGCTACTCGAGTCCCGGGCCAAAGGCTTTGGGAATAAAGCCAAAAATATATATATGTATGCAGTATAAATAACCACATTTGTATGAGTGCGTGCGTGTATGCGAAATATTTTGTTTAACGTTTATAGTTTTATGCACTTAAGATGGCAAAATATTTTCTTTCACTTCTGCTTAAATTTATTTTCGAGTATCAGGCACAGGGCTTAAGCCAGAAGCAAAACTTTTGCCAATATTTGTAAAAAATATATTGATTGGCCTGAGACGAGGGTAAAAGGGGGAAAAAAAGACGGAAAAGGCTTATATATGTGTGTGCAAGTGCATACAGATCTTACTTATGCACTTGAATTTATCCTTTCCTTCAGAGCTTTTCGATTTTCCTCCATGACTTTTTGCTACACTTACTTTATTTCTTATTAATAGTAATTTGATAGATTTAATTTAACATAATTTAGTAACTGACTCATTTAACTTTATTCTATAATTTTATAAGTATTATTATATTTAATTTTACTCTAAAACTCTTCTTTAAATCTCCATCACCTTAAAAAAAGTATTTAAATATGGAAGTTACCTTCATTTCATCAGTGATATTTGACATATTTTTAGAAATATTTTTTACTTTTCAATAATATTTAAAGGGTATTTAATATTCAGTTTACAAAATCAACCTTTTGAAGTAGTCTTTTGCATCTCCCGGGCTTCCACACTTTCCTCATCGACTTCGTCGCTCAATTCTTTGGACAAACATTGGGTGCAGCTGCTGCCACGCCCCCAAAAGCCCCATGTACCGCCCCCATTGCATTGCAGCCGTTGCTCTGAAATTTTCCAAACATTTCGTGCATGATAACAAACTGTGTGGCGAACGCAGTTCGAGGGCCATCGATGCTCCTCCACGGAAATCTCTTGGCCTGGGCACAAAGGTTGTGTTTGTTTTCTGTTAAATGTTCAAATATATTATTGCAGCCCCTGAGATGTGGATATGGAATGTGGGGAAGTGGGTATGTGGGGATGTGTTCGCAACGGATCGGAGCGAAGAGCACTTGCAGACATTTTCGAACTTGTATTTACATGCAAGCAGGAAATTGTACACCTCCTGGTTTTCCACTGCCCTGCTCCTGTGTCTGCATGTTAAAATATTCAAACAAAAACGTTATGAAAATATGAACTGTGATGTTTATCGATTGTGAAATATGATATACTCCGGGGAGATGGAGATGGTTGTGGGGCGGTCTCAAAGGGAGTGCACATACTGTCCTGGCCTTTAATTTGTTAGCACAATCCTTCCCAACGGCAGTCAGTCCCGCTGACAGGATGTGTGGGCTTTTCTACACGGAACACATTTTTGGAGGACTCTGATTTGTTGAAAACTATTAGCAAGAGTGTTTTACAATTAATATGCGAGAGGAAATACTTAAGATTTATTGTGTAATATTTTCTGATATTTAAGTTCATATACGATGAAAGCAAACATTTTTCAGGGTTTTTTCTGATTCTTTTGATGGAAAGTATCATTCTTTATTGCATTTTAGTGTAGTGTATTATATATGAGTGTATTTATATACACAGTGAGTGTTTGTACTCCTTTTTGTATTGGTGCCGGCATGCCGTGCTTGTGTGTTGGCTTGCGTGCCAGTCGGAAAACCTTTCGCCTGACCAAACCAGACAAACCTCGGCCCCGAGCAATTGCTGCCGAATTCCTCTGGTAGCTAATAAATATTAAACTTTAATTAAATATGTTTTTTGTTCGATATTTATGTGTGCATCGACTGAATATCGCTGGCAATCGCACTGCAATTTCGCTTCTGGCCAGCCCACCCATAAATTTACAACCTTGAAGCGCCACCAAAGCCAAAGCTCGAAAGGCCATTAAAATACGTTCCTCTTTTTTTTTTGCCGGCCACTTAACATGGTGGGTGGTAAAGGAAAGGGGGAGAACACGGTCTAAACTAAAACTCATATTAAAAATTGACTTTTATCGTGATTTACAATCAAGTTGGCCTTTTTAAATGCCGTGGTCGACATGCGGGCTTTGCCTTCCCGCTCCTAGTGCACTTTGAAAATGATATGCGAAAGGAAGTGAAGAAATAATTTCACAAGTTATTATTGATTTTTCAGTTTTTAAAAATTAAGAGACAATCTTTTTTTTTTAATTTTCTTGACTAACATTTGTAGCCTAATTAAAGATTGTTTATAATACTCATCAATGAACTATTTTAATGATTTAGCATGCTTCTAGAAATATTACCCATAGTTCAATACAAGTTTAAGCCAAATAAAAATATGTAGTTAATTCTTGGAAAGAACTTTCTTCAAAATAATAGGATTAAAACAGTTCTTCTTTAAATTTTGGTTTTAAAATACTTAGAATATTTGTTTGATCTTTAGAGAACACCATTTTTTTGGAGTGGCCCAAACTGGTTGCCTAGTAGCTCCGCCAGCTTGTTGTTGCTGTTGCGGTTGGCCCCACACTCGCACACACACAGGGGGTCGAACCAAGAGGGGGCTAAATATTTCTTCGTGGCTTAGGTTGGACGGGCCAACATATTTAAGCCGAATGCTGACGCCCGATTCTCGAGCAGCGTCCACGACATGGCACGACACGTGGTTTGGTGGTTTGGCGGGGTTACGGGCTTCGGAATGGGATTTAGAATTGAGAACGGAGAATGGAGAATGGCGAATGGAGGCCGCAGCAAATCCCCTGGCCACGCCCACTGATACACCCTTTAAGGCGGTGGCCTGCACTCTATATCTCTGCACTTCCATTACGAAATCCCTTTCCCGGCAATTCGGTTTGCCTTTCCCAACGCCCAACGCTTCATATTTCCTCACACGTAATTCCATTGGATTTCCAATGTCGACATCGACTTTGCTTCTTGACTTTTACTTGGCCAAACGTTGGCCTTTTCATTTGCTCAAGGGTCCTGTTATCCTCACAGGACCTTTTCTGGGGTCGAAAGTGTATAGACATTAAGCAGATAACTCTAAATTACCCAAATAAATAACACAAAAGCTACACATTAATTGTTTGAGAAAAGTTTTATACTCGAGATTAAAATGTATATTTTCTCCGTCTTTTTTTGCAGAGACTGCAGAGTTGTGCGTGATCCGCAGACATTGAAATCAAAGGGCTATGGCTTTGTCAGCTTTGTCAAGAAATCGGTAAGCTATGCCAGTAGATTTTGAAACATCAAAGGCTTCCCTCGGCGGCAATTAGAAAATGTTTCAATCAAACGCTCATTAGTCGCTACACAAGTTAATTTTCTAAGTAAGCAAAGACACGCACAACACACAAAGCCGCTTACGGCGAAGTTGCCAAATGAAATCTTAATTAAAACAAGTGGAAAGTTTAGCTAAAATCCCGCTTGACGTCCCAGCAACTTAACATATCAAAAGACACCTGTGGCTTTGCCCACCTTTTCCCCCTAACCCCACACACATCGTACATTTCCCCTTCGTTTGCTTAAGATATACATAAGCCAAGGAAAAACCAAACGAAGCGCACACATTTTTAAGATTTAATGCATTCTGCTTTTCCGTATCTCGGTTAACTGCCAAGGGGCGAGTATTTGATTTTATTCTCTTCCTATGGACACACTCGTATATCAAAAGCATGCGGCTCACGAATCTGTAATGTTTTTTTATGGCCACAGATGCAGCGAATCTCACGGGCTCCCGAGGCTGGAAAAAGAACCCTTAAAGAAACAACCCCTGGGGGGCACTGTAAACATTTACACATCATATTCAATATGTTTAAACCGCAACTGATAAGGGTCCAAATAACTGCTAGCAGGACTCCATATCCATATCCCAGTGTGTGTGTGTGTTGTGATTGAATTTCATGTGCCTAATAGGTAGAAAATTCGACAAAGAGCCGAAGATATCCAGAGGCAGGGACTTTAACCAAGTTTATGGGAGGTCCTAGTGGTTAAACCATTTCAGGGAAGTCGACCTTTTAAGATGTTTATGTAATGGATATCCTTAAATACATTAATAAAACACATCCTTGATAGTACAATTATTTTTAAAATTTTAATCTGGACGAAAATGTTTATATATTTTTGCACCATCGGTGAAAGTTTTAAAACGTTAGAAATAAAGATGAAATTCCTCTTTCTTACAACGACTCGTTTTAAAAAAACCGAAATTCATAAAACTCAAGGCATAAACGCGGCTTAAATCATCAAAGAAGGCAGACTAAGGCCAAACGAATTGCGTGTCAGTCAGTGGAGCAGAAAAAATGCTCAAGCTTAAGGCTTAGAACCCAAATCAAACAGCCACAACGGAGATATATAAACTGGCAGTACTTTTGGGAAAAGCCAAATCAGAAATGCCGGAGAAGGCGTAAAAGCCAAAGGTGCTGCTAGTCAATTAGGCGGCAAAATGCTCAAAATTATTAATTAAATTTTAATGCTAATGCCATGAAGTGTGCACCAGACATGGGGCCCAATAATTTGGCAGGCAAGCCAATGATTTGTTTGACATCGAAGAGATGAGCGCGGATTTGCGTTGGAATGTGTCGTGTGCAAATACAACATAATCTCTGACACTTGGCTGCTGCCACGCCCACCAGCCCGAACCGCCCAGCTGTCATTCAAACATATAGATATTATACACATATAGATGTATTTAAGCCAAAGTCGAACTGAACTTTCCGCTCGAAGCCTTTTGGCAACTGACTTGTTTTAGTTGGAATTATGGCCAATGCGGCGTATACTTAATGCTTTTCCCCAGCTAACTAGTTAACTTTTTGTGCTGCAAGTGGGGAATGGGATGCCAATTTTCGAACTTTCTCGATTAGTTTCGATGCAAACGAAAAGAGGAAGAAGTGCAAACACACAAATGCACACACAAACACCCATACACTCACAGACCAAATAGCAAACTCAAATATTTCAAATTAAGTTTCTCGACATGCGTTTTGTACACAGTCGGTACGCCCTAAGCCGCCACGCCCCCATTTCCCTGAGTCCGGGCGTCGCTTGCAGCTGATTTAATGCAAATTTTATTTATGCGAAAAGTTTTATTAAATTTTTGTGCAAAGTTGATATTTTCTGTGGTTTTGCGGAAATTGAAAAGTTATTTTTCGAATGGCTTACTGCACTCACACTAGCACACATGAGTGTGTGTGTGTGTGTGTGCATGCGCAATGGCAACTGCAAGCGGAAAAGGAAGAAACAGTTTTCTTTCATTCAGCACTTCCGTTTGCCGGCGCATGAAATTTTGCCAATCGCCATGGCTTTGCATAAACCCAATGCCAAAACGCCAGATCTGCTCAAGCATCTCGAAAATATTTAACGCAAATTGTTTGGCAACATGTTTTAAATAAACACCAGAACATCTCCGCTGGCTGCCATTACTCCCTTTATTTTTTATTTTTCATCTTTTTTTTGTTTTCCTCCTGTGCGACGCATACAAATTGCCATAATTTAATAACCATCAAGGCAAGCTGAGCATTTGCATGGGGAGCTCTACTCGGGAAGACGATGCCTGTCTGCGTGTCATTAGCATCATAAATCACAACAACAACGCCGGCAAGTACGAAAAAATTTACGCAAACATTAAACGCAATAAACATGTCGATGCCAGGAGGAGAATACACAGAGAAAAATTAAAACAACCTCTGGATTTAACCATTTTCCATAAAATCATCAAGGATTTGAAACAACTCAGCAAAGTGTCTGAAAGTATGCGTGAAAAATTAAAATATACCATTGCATTCTTTAAAGCACTGGATTGTTTGAATTTTTTAAAACATTTTCAATTAAAATCTGCTGAGATTAAAATCACTCAGTAAAGTGTCTAAAAGTATGCTGTAAAAAAATATTGCATACTTTTAACACTTTCATAAAGATTAAATATTTCAAGAAAACTTTGCTGTCAGGAAATATGTTTATATATTTATGTCTTAATTATATCTATACTGACAAAGTGGTACCCCTATTTTTTTCCTGTGCAGCTGTACTTCCTGCTCCTTGAGCCCCAACCGAAATGCTAATGTCTGCCGCCATTGTCGACGGCTTCTGTTATTGTCACACAGCCGAGCCATATTAACATATTATTGCATACTCACATGGCAGAGAAGAAAAAGATCAGGAAATTCAACAAAAAGGAAATCACCGCCTGCTGCATCTTGAGTGGCTTTTCTTTTTGACACAAAACTGATTTGCCAGCGTTATGGAGACAAAGGCAGGCTCAGGGCCCGAGATGCATTTAATCGCATTACTCGCCACCGCCTTCGCATCGCTTTTTCACGACAGATTTTTGTTGTATAATGCACTTAAATTTATTTAAAAGTTGCCACAACAAAAAGGGAGCAAAAAGTGCAGGACGAGAGAAGGCAAACGAATTGACAATGTGTGCAGCGAACAAGATATAATGTCGACTTCCCGGCCACGCCCCCACATTCTTTTCATCATCTTCTTGTGCAGTTCATTGTTGCATTATTATCATTTGTTCTTATTGTTGTCGCTGCTGCCGTTGTCGCGGGGCACAGAATGCCTGTGGTTAACCTCGCACCACCCGAACCACCCAGACCACCCAGAGCCACCCGAACCACCCTGAAACACCCAGAACCACCCATTCCAATGCCAGTTGTGATGTTTCTTTTATGATTCCGTTGCGTGTTGCTCCTGCTGGCTGCCTTGTCATGTGCATGTGCACTTAAATTAAAAAGCATTCCGCATACATTGGCCTTAATTTGCGCTACGTGCCGTCTTGCCAGAGCCAAAAATATGAGAAATATCATCAACCACCAGGAGATTGATTAACCCCTTCGATGCTAATTAATTTGCCTTGAGTAAAACATGATTTTATTTAAGGATGTTGAGTGGTTGTAATATATAAATAATATAATACAAGGACAACTTTTTTATACAATTTCCCAGTACAACTGAGAGACCTGAATAATTTCCGAAGAGAATAAATCAATTGGACCTTAATTGACCCACTGAATCACAAAACATATGCAGATATCACAGCTAATTGATCAAACAGATTTCTCGACAGTTTCTTAATAGTATTCTTAATGTATTTCCCTTTCGTTTCATTGGCCTTTAAAGTTTTGTCCACCCCGCCTTAATGCTTTTCAATTTAATAAATTTCAATCCAGGCAATAAATTTGCTGAAGCGTACAAAACTCGGTTATAAATATAAATGGCCTGGACATTCATTTTATGCTTTCCATAATAATTCAGGAACTAGTGATTTGAGGGCGGTGTAGGAACCCACGGACTACAAACTGCCTACACACGCATAAGCCCAAAGCTCGGGGTAGTAACTATAAAAAAAATGTGGGAAAATATGAGGGCGAGTTCGGATGCCGAATGGGAATGAGAAACAACGTCCAGAACTGACATACATAAATAAATCCCATGGAATTATGCCTTGACAAAAATGCGTTCTAGCGTGAAATACTGATTTTTTGGTCAACAACTCCCACAACCCAAACTCACAAACTCACAGACTCAAACGGAATCGTGGATGTGTGTGGTCAAAAATCGAAAAGCGTTTTGGGCCTAAGCGGAATGAAAACAGTTTTTACCGTTGACTGGGCCAGACAGATTCAAAGATGACTGGGCCTTATCTGCTCCACCACCACATCATCATCATCATCATCATCATTCTGCTGGCCATCATTATCGTTCGAGAAGTCGGCAAATGGAAGGGCATTTCCACTGAGCAAACGATTTGCCACTTGAGTTATTTTATAAATATCAAAAAATCATCATCGGAACTGCGAGTTTGGGCTTGAGTTTTATCTGGGCAGCTTTAATATTCAACTTGGGGATGGTTGGTTACTTTCACGCTTATCTAAATAGCCACGTTAATGAATCTGACCGAAGAACAAAGCTAAACCGGCTTAGGAGTTGGAAAGGCAAGAAAACCTTTTAGCCCAGGGAGAAAGAAATATAGAAAGGGGCCGACACTAAATACTGGGCGTCTGCTACCTTTTTAAGACAAACCGGTCGCCGAAGGAAAAGCCAGAACCTTCTTATTTTCTTATTTTACCCGTGAATATGTCCATGTGCCAGGGTGTCTATGTGCATTCGGGGGATTATCCCCTTTTTGTGTGTGTCAGTGTGTTGAGCTGGCCTTTTTTCACCTTCTTTCGCAACAGTTTTTCCTTTTCCGCCTGGCCTTTTCCGTTTGCGGCACAAACC